AATAGCACTAGTTATTTGGGGCAGGAATTTATCCCAGTCCTTCTGTTGTTTACCTACAAAACGCCGGACAGCGTTCATTACGGTAAGGTTATATCTTTCGACCTGTCCATTAGCAGACGGCCGATATGGTGTGGTATGAGTTTTCTTAATGCGAAGCACCTTACATAGCTCCGAGAACAAATTACTTTCGAAATTGGCGCCCTGGTCCGAATGTAGCTGTAAGGGCATCCCAAAACGTCAGAAGAACTCACGAACTAACACTTCGGCGGTAACTTGCGCCGTTTGTGAAGGGACAGGGTAGGCTTCTACCCACTTAGTAAACTGGTTCACTACCATTAAGGTATAAAGGTTTCCCTGATTAGACTGGGGGAAAGGGCCTGCGAAATCTATATGCACCCTTTCCATGGGGGCACCAGCACGGAAATTCACCTGCTGGAAACGTCCTCTACGCCCACCTTTCTTGTTACGATTGCAGCTTTCGCAACCCTGTACATAACGTTCAACTTCGGCAGTCATACCGTGCCAATAGAAACGTTGCTTAAGGCGAAGCTTGGTGCGCTTTACACCCTGGTGCCCTGCTGATGGAAGGTCATGGTAAGTTCGCACGGCAATATCAATAAGGCTTCAGGGTAGAAGCAGTCGTTCGCCCTCCCTATGTTTATCTTTAATGAAGGCAAGGCCATCCCGAAGACAGATCATGCCCTTGCTTAGCCAATAATGCTTGGCAGCAGGACTTAATGAAAATAATTCGGCCTCAGATGGCGATATTCCATCTTTTATCAAGACTAGGGTAGGGATAAGATCTACGTCTTCCGCTTGAGCGTCTCTAATCTCCCTAGGTGCAAACCCCCAGCAGGTTTGTTCTGATTGGCGAGTAGACGCCTTATTTACTTTGAGGATAGGTGTATCAGGTAAGGTCCGGGAGTGAGGTACAGACGTGAAAGGGACCACATCGTCCACATCCTTCATGAACGACGCCCACTGTTCATGCGCCCTTGTACAGTAGCTACACCCCCCACAAGGCAACTCCTCCAAACGAGCCCCATACTTATAATGATTGTCCCCCCTCCGGTGCCCGCGACAACGCATCGGCATTCACATGCCGTTTCCCCGGGCGGTGCTTCACCACCATGACATACTGACTTAGCTCTTCCATCCACCGAGCTAATTGACCTTGAGGTTCTTTAAACCTAAGCAACCAGGTGAGACTATTATGGTCGGTTCGAACTGTAAATAGTTTGCCTAGTAAGTAATGTCTAAACTGGCATGTAAACTTAACGATCGCCAGTAGTTCCTTTCTAGTTGTACAATATCGTCGCTGTTCCGACGACAGCGCTAAACTGGCGTACGCAATTACGCGTTCCTCGCCATTGCGAACTTGGAGTAATTCACCCCTATGGCTAAATCAGACCATAGAGCAAAGAAACAGAAGGAGATGCAACAAGCTTAGATCAAAGGTTCAGAGTCTTTTGCCGCGATCGCAATTAATCTTGCTGTTACGTAATATACTTGACAGTAGATAAGCTAAAATCCACAATCGCGCATGCGCCGGGAGCTCAACAACAGACGGCGGCTGCGCGAAGATTAAAACCATTGATGCATACGATCATAAACAACGAGCAAAGCTAAAGTTAAAGAAACACGAAAAAAGCTAAGAAGCACGCTTGACGTGGTGATAAATTATTGAAATTAATTAAATTAGTAACAATTACCATAGATATAATCACTTATCAGCTATGGATAATGAGGATTTTAGTGATTTTCCCGACGATGAATTTGATGTAAACGATCTACCACCAGTCGATTTTGAAGAAGACGATGTAGGCCTAGGTCTAGAAAATGTACGCCAGCAATACTGTGTTTGCAGCCGGGGACTACAGATATGATTCTCTGCAACAACAAGCCTTGCAAAATTCAGTGGTTTCATCGTAATTGCATTGAGATGAAAGTACTTGAAGCAGATTGGATATGTAGTCGTTGTAACCCAGAAATCGGGAAAGGTGTGTAAGCTTCTTGTCAACTATAATTATCCGAAATAATTCTTTAGGCAACAGAACGAATGAATGATGAAATGAAAACGAGTGTCTGTTGCTTCTCTAGGCCTAGGCTAGCTAGGCTAGTGCATAGAGCAAAGATTCTTTGCTCTATGGCTAGTGTCAGTGAAGAAGTAAACCCTAATTGGTGGGTCTAGCGAATTCAAAATACTGTATTTATATCTATCAATTATAAGTTTGTGGTTGGTGAATTAATATCATTAAAAAATATTTTTGTTTTACTTTCTGCATCTTTTTTCTTGTACAGATATTTCAAGTACAACATACAAAAAGGATAAGGCCAAAGAAATACCAGCCAAAAGTAAACGTAAAAAAGGTAAGTTTGTGGACAATACATTTAAACCATTTTTTGTCATGACTATACAGTATAATATGTATAATGTGTATATGTATATATATATATTGCCACTGAAGAAGAACTAGTGTTGTCCGAAAACTATGGTACTATTTCTGACTACGTTTTAGCTGTTGCTCATTAAATTTTTTCTGAATTCTGTAAGAGTGCGCATCCCTTTTTTTTTAATTATTAAAATAATTAAAAATAAATTCTTTGTTTTCAGCGGTTGAAAGACCAACTGTTAAGTTTACAAAAGATGATGCAATCGGCAACGGTCAACCAAAGGAATATTTGCTTTCGGCATTACGGAAGGTAAAGGAGCATCCCGTATATACAGCACCATACCCAACATCAATACAAGTTTTAGATCTTGCCACCAAGCTGCTCCAACATGCAGATTCCACACAGTTTACAGACTTTGCATTAGATATTGTAACAGACTTTTGGGACATTGTGACAGCTGGGGACAGTAAAAAAATAAAACCAGAGGCAAATGAAATGGTCTGTCGTGTTTTTCACCAGTACACACTGTCTGGTGGTGTCAAATGGAAGAAATTGATGGAGTCATTAGACTTGGATACAGAAGGCCAGCATGTTGGGACATTAAATCACTTTGTAATGAGAACTCTGCTAAGTTTAATTCTGACAGATCGCCATGACAAGGACATGCCAAAGCCCAAGGTGCAGGAACCCAAACCTCTGGACCAAAACGAAGAACAAGTTGTTCGTTATGTTGCGGGTTATGTGCCCTATGCACTCTTGAAGAAATTTAAAAGATTTTCCAATTCAACTGCAAAAACATATTGCAAGTTCTTGTCAGCATGGAAGGTTAATGGTTCTGACACGACCCACTCATTTTTGGACTATTCCAAACTTTGGATAGCTAAGCAAAGTAGGGGTGGATTATTTAATGTTACTGATGATGTTTATTTATTTTTTAGAACTTTAGAAAATGAAAACAGAAAATACCTGACAATCAGTAGATTTAATTCAATGCCAAATGCCAATGTTAAGGACATTATTATGAACACAGTACTAGAAAATCCAACAGTACACAAGTACTGGTGTAACCTAACAAGAAATAAAATTGTTGGTGATGCATCTAAACATTTACTCGATATAGTAATTAGGTTGTGGATTAAAATCAGGATGCATGCATTTTTAAAGGTTTATCTAGACTTAAAGAAGGCAAACAGTAATGAGATTTCAAGAAAGTCTGAAAAAGCACTGCGAAAAGACTTGTAAACATAGAGCAAAGAAACAGTTGTAACAATGTACTAAATTAGTCATGTAAATAATTAAATGCTATGATGGTTATACAGTACAATGAATGTGCCAAAAATAAATTTACTTCCAACAAGTTATTTTATTCCTTTTCTGTAGAGATTGTTTTGTTATTTCACAATGCACTGTATAAACACTCCGTTGTTCTCTAAATAGCCAACAATGTTTTCATCCAGGACAAGAACCTCTCATAGTCATCAAGGATGTGGTGTGACAATAAAATTTATTCGAACAAAATAATCCTTAAATTATTAAACAAAAACAAATGTAATCATAAGAATTCTATAACTGACAGCTTTCAACTTTTATGAATAAAAAAAGCAATATTTTAGCAATAGTTGAGCAGCTATATAATGACACATCAATTCCAGCATTAAATAAGCCTTTTCTAACTGCGCATGATCGTATTAAGGTCATAGAACTCTATCGACATAAACACCACGTATACAACATATTGTAGGTGTATGTTAATTAACATAGTTGGAAATGTGAAATGGCTTATTATTCTTAAAATACTAATAAATAGATATTTAACTAATTTTATGTACAATAATATAAAAATCTCAAGGCAATTACACATAAGATAATATAATACATGCTCCAAGTATTCAAATGCATGCCATCGTGAATTGATTCAACATTTCGGCATCAATTATGTCATACATAATTAATGCCGCAATATAGTGAATCAGTTCACGAAAGCGTGTCTTTCAATACTTAGAGTATGTATTATTCTGTCTTACCCGAGACTAATCAGTGGGCCTTTCGGCAATTACACATACAACAGGAATACTGTTTTAATTATCGGCAAAAAATGGTAGTCAGGATTATACATGATGGAATGGTGACCAGATTTAATAAATATGTACACTTTTACAAAATCTATTTACAGAAATATAACTATAGTATTATAAATTACTATCTAAAATTTAATAGTAGGCAATTTTCCTTCCACAAAGAAACAAAACGAAAGTCAAAATCCTGTGCCTGGCTAAGAAATTTATATAAATGTGATGCTGAATAAATTCATCTCCTCCTTGGTAGAGGTGTGTCATCTAACATACAACTACGTTCATCAGGGCCTCTGCAGTTTCCCCGCTTTGATGCTTTGGCACAGCTAGACGCAACATATAAGGCTTGCATATTTTGGCCGAACTGGACAACAGTTGGGTTGTCACATGTCCCACCAGCTCCACGTTGTTTACTGAAATACTGCTCTAACGGATCCTGATTAAACTTCTCGCTTAACAGAAAATCCACATCAGGACGAGAAAGCAGTTCTGAAGCCAAGTCCACAAATGAATTGACTACAACAGTAAAAAAAATTAATTTAATTTTTATATAAATGTAACACAAATGTGCATCTGATGCAGTTCTAAGGGTTAATAAACTAACCTAGCAATCATAGGCATTCCAATGGTTGTCGTAGGGAACAAAGATGCTGAGATCGAGTGTTATATATTTGTCAAACCATAAAGATCAACTGTCAGACCCTGAACCGTATAGCACTCAAACTCATACCTCTACCTTTAATAATGCAAACAACTTCCTGCGCTGTTGTAGCATACATAAAATGCTGAAATACTATTAAAATATGGTGTGTTTATCATGATTTTTTAATAATGCTAACATTACTGCCATTCAACGAGCTACATGTTATGTTGGCTTGGAAATCTAGATTTTTTTAATAAACTATTTTTTGCCAACCTGTTATTCTCAGTCCTTCTTGGGTCTCCCTGCTTAACAGCATTTTCTGCTTCTCAGACTTTCTCACATTATCAAGGTTGTTGATTGACTCCCACTCGTCTAGGAATCCTAAAAAGTCCTCCTTAAGCCACTAGAAATAATCACAAATTAAGAGATTATTTAGTTAGCATACAATTGCTTTAACTTACTGCATAAAACGGAGCAAATTACTTTATGAAGAGATCCAGTGTAAGATATTGATAGTCAGATGACAGTAACTGGATTACGGAAAGCCTTTTTTAAATGTAAAGCAACTACGTATACCTTGAAAGGCCAGTCATCACTAGATCTATACGGCGCTAAAGCTGGTTTGAGACTGTGACTATCCTGATGTAGACGGGAAACATTCAAGCAGTCGAAAAATGTGTCGAACATCCTAATAAATTTTGCTGTCGAAGCTGTGTAGTATTGTCCATGGCACTCAAGAGCATTGGCTACTGTGCTGCTTAATACCTATAAAAAATTACTTGGTTGAAAAGTTTTCTTGTCAATTTTATTTATCACAATATATTCCAAGAATTATTTTTTTTAACGTTTACTATTGTTGTGCTTACTATCTGTAAAAATTATTCATTTGAATTTCTTGTAGACTTAAATTTAATTACAAAATATTAACAAAACTTCCTTTTTAAAGACTGGATGTCCCAAATATATTTTGGTTATCTACTAATTCATTTAATATAAGCATAGAGCAAAGAAACATTGTTTATCGACATTTACAACTGGTCACAGCGTCTCATTCCATTCAAAACAATGTGGTATACAAATTGTGATGATACACAGAATCATACAGCAAAGAAACAGAAATGAACTGCCTGAAACTACACAAGACAAATAAATCTACAAAATAAATAAATAATACTACAATACATTTTCATCAGTGCAAACATAGAAATACCTGCACAGCCATGTACACGCACATTCTCAAAGAAGGGGTCAGGTGGAGATGCTCATAAGAGATCTTATGAAGGCGACGAAGTCCAGGTGAATATCTGTCCAATCCTGTGTCCCAATTATACAGTTCCAACAGATAAGTCCATTTGATATCCATTTTGTTGTACTGTGAAAAAAGTTAATAATCACATGATTTCCATTTCCCCAATCATCGTTGGTTTGATGCCATGTATGTGGTGAGTACAGTACTGTACAATTTAGCTTAATTTCGTGTTTTAGTGTTTATTTGTAACCATATTGAAATAAAATTTGATAACTTACATGGAGGTGCCGTGTCTTATAGTGATAGTTACTGTTCTCAAAGTTGTTTCGCGTCGTCTTCATCAAATGTGAAACATCGCAAATAAAATATATATTCCTTGTTGGATCTATTTCATTGTGAGTGACATAAGTAATAGACGTTGATCCAGGAGTAGAATGTAGCCTATAAAACTTTCTATTTGGCGACGCACCATCCGAGATAAATGCTCGAACCCTGAAGCCCGCCGTCTCTACATACTCTACTGCTTCCCATAGGCACGAAAACAGTTCATCACTTGAGGCTCCTTTAGTGGGACAATATCCAACTGG